TTCATGAAAGGTATTTTCGTGGTAAAATAGTAAAGTATTACTAAGACTATCAGATTACCGATTCAATATTCGGTTACAATACGATTTCATCACACAGCAAACGTTGGATATTTAATACTTTTCTACGAAAATACCTTTTACGGCAGTGGTGTGATCGAAAGTTGATCGGAACTGAATTGTAACCGAACTTTTATTACGAGAATTGGCCTTCAGATCTCGTATGCTACTACGATGGTTCGGTCACATAAAGAGGAAGCCGCCTGACTACATTGGCCACTTGGCGCTACAATTATCGATAGACCGAAGACAAGGTGGGAGGATGTAGTGCTGAGAAACACAAAAGACCGTCGGGACTTCGAAGACGACATAGATGATAGAGCAAGCAAGTGGAGCAGACAGATGAGGAAAGCTGAGCCAAACGCCATGTGGGATGAATAGCTTGGAAGAGATAGGAAAGATCAGATTTCGTAAAAAAATTACATTAATGATATAAACAATATGTGTTTGAATCCAAAGAAATATAGTCAGTCTCTATATAACGTCATTGTGTTAAACAAATAATTCACTGACGTCACGAATTGAATTATTATCCTAGCTTGTGCCGCAGTACGGTGATGACGCGTGACTTAGGCGCAGTGTTATCTGTTGATAACACCGTGCTTATTTCGTATGCCAAACAGAAGGCGTGCCGTGCTGCATTACCTACGATATACTGAAGGTATTGTGGCAGGCTTTTGATAATATAGAAGACAAACGAAGATACGGGTCAACTGATGGTAAGACAGAACTCAAGAGACAGTAGTGCGTTGTCGCCTTTGAATGCCCCCCCCCCCCGCAGAATTAAGGGGTCTGCGGTTGCGGTAACAATTAGAAATAATAAAAAGTACCTAATCTCTTGCTAATATAAGTCTGGGTTACATTACAAAAGCCGAAAACAACGCTATCGAAAGAGAGGAGGATACAAATTTATAAGTGTCAGATTCTATCAGCGTCTAATAACATAAGAGATAGTGAATTCCGTTCTAGATTACTTGTTCGAAAAAATATGTAATTTATAAGCTGTTCAGGAGACGCTGCTGGACATAATCATGAAAATTCATTATGGATGGACCTAGACCTATTTCTTAGGGTTCCATGGATTCCTCGTGCAGGTGCTGGGAAAGATGGGGGCAAAACATGCGACTTCGACAGCGCTTGGGAATTGCATTGAGTAGGTTTAGGGAGTACTCCTTGCGACGCGTCAGCTCTCGCCTCCACTGTCTGCTGTATTACTCCCTTTACCTAACCATATTTGATACGAGCCTAGCAGTGGCGCTTTGGATATTCTTTCAAGAAAAGAGGATACTGAAGTTCTTGGCAATCCAAGGTCTTTAAGTAGGTTATTGAGGGATTTGGCTGGTATACCGTTCGCATCCATCTCCACGGCATACAACGCAACGAAATATCCATTTCTGGTTATTTCGTTGGTTAAGTCAAAGTACTTATTTCTTTTTAAAGCGTGGTCTTCAGAGATGTCCGTTTCCCACGGCACCGCGAGTTCTACTAGTACTACACGCTTAATTGACATTGCATAAAGAAGTACTCGTATGTCTGGTCCGGACGCCGAGCCACATATATATTCTTCGGTATTCTGTAATGATTTTCGTACGTGTCTACTAATAATGTGCAGTCACTGGCGGTATTTATAATTGAGTACGGCTTTTGTGAAGTCTTTATTGTTTAGCCTTCCGTTACAAACTTGATGCTGGTTACTATGTTTGTTGTTATTCCTTTCCTTTTCTCGCCAGTGATAAACTTATAGCTTCACATATGATTTTAATACCCTATCATGGCGACATGAATATTGACCTCTGTTTAAGAGCGCCTTACAACCTGTCAGTAAGTGTCTGGGTGTACCTATTTCCGCACTGCACATCGTACAAATCTTTTCTGTGGCTATCCCCTTACTAAGTAGCTTTGATAAAGGAGAGCTAATTGAAAGGCGTCGAGGTAAAATTTTAATAACGCAGGTGAACAATCGCATAAAAGTGAGCGCCATTTCAAAGTTGGTGGGCTACAAAATTCACCTAGAGTACCGTATTCATTCTGAATTTCTAGGTTCATTGCGTGTGTGTAATATTTCACTTCTTACCCTGAAAAGCTATCGGATGAACTAAGTGTCATGTCAGAATACCAGGAAAAGAATTGGATAACAGTATGCCATCAGATTTATCAGATATATAGGGTGTAAGGGGGCGAACCACCATCTTTCGCCCCAAGCCAACTTCACCTGCCCGTGGTGCATCCTGCTGAACGACGAATGAGGGTCTGGCGACCAACCGATGGCGGTACATCCATCCCAATAGGCGTAGCTAAATACAACAGGCCTGTGACGGGCAGCAGCGTCCCCGGTGCGACAAGCTACGCCCTGCGATCGGCAACCCGCCTGCCGTGCGTGGTGATTATGTGCAAATCCTCCCCATGTGCCAAAGTGGCGTGCCATGGGAGAGGCCTATGTCCAACAGTGGACTGCGATAGGCTGATGATGATCAGATTTATCAATATTAGACATATTATTTATATACTATCAATAATAGACCAATATTCATGAAAACAATTATATTTTTCGAGATGAATATCCTATTAGTAGGCATAGATAACAATGATTTAATGAAATCAAACCAAACAAATTCATCAGCGTAATGCCAATTTTCCCCAACGAAATACGGCCTGTGTGCACCGTAATCATGCGCCGCCTGGTTTCGGTGTCATCCCAGTCTTTAACATCACGTCAGCAACCTTTAATAGTCCACTGCTGGACATAGACCTCTGCCTCTGCCTGATAAAGGAGGTTTTGGTTTTGTTTGGTTTTGGTTTACTGTACCACTCTGGCCAGACGGGTTGGTATGGGGTTTGTGTCAAGGTTACATTCTCTTTACAGTGCGTGCGTGTTTGCACACTTAGTCGGCTCTTACGACACCCACGGAATGGGTATGGTGGTGACACTCCGTATTCTTAATCCGTCACCACACGAATTTAACATCTAGTGAACATTAAATCGGGTGGGTTGAAAATTAAGGTTAGGCGTCCCTCAATTAATCGATTATTATAGATTAATCGTAAGTAAAGTAAGTAAAAAATATGATATGTAACTTTTTAAAAGTAATTATGTACTGTATTTATGTGTGTGTGTGTGTATGAAATTCGTGATAGGTCATTGCTACGTGTGTCCATAACAATCAGCTGTTATCATCATAAAAGATAAGCAATTATTATAAATGTGAAAGTGTCTGGCTGTCTGTTACCTCTTCACGCTTTAACCGGTAAACCGATTTATATGAAATTTGGAATAGAGATAGTTGAATCCCGGGAAAGGATATAGGATAGTTTTTATCCCAGAAATTATCCTTTAAGGGGGTGATACGGAGGGTGGAAGTTTGTATGGGGAATAAATAACCGCTGAACCGATTTAGATGCAATTTGGTATGGAGATAGTTTGATTCTTGAAAGAGGAGAAATGCTTTTTACTGCGGTAACAGCGGAACCGCTGGCAAAAGCTAGTCATTTTATAAATCTCAGCTGTTATCTAATTCTATCATTGTCGCCAAATACAATGTTTCAACCGGGCGATGTAGGAAATCTTTAGGTGTGGGATGGGATTTCCAGATTTGGAAGATGAATTAGTCCATTTGGCTTCTTTTATCTTCTTGTTACAGTCCATCAACGTCATGCGCGACCGTCCTGCGGGGTGACAGACGGTGGCGGTTGCTTGGCAGGGCCAGCTCTATGGGAGCAACACCACGGTCTCACAAAAAACCGGTGTTAAGTTATTATTTCGTTGCTTTCCACCGAGTTATCGGAGCCCAAAACCCTCCCTTGAGGTGCAGGGTACATGGGCGGCGGTAGGAATTTAGGATGAGAGGGTCATTTGCGCACACTGAAATCTCCGCCAATCGCAACGCTAAAATCGCTCACCATCGAGAGTGAGTAGATGTAAAATAAACTAACACTAGGCCCACAGGTGATCCAATAGCTCGTGTGCCACATATAATACAAAGAAAAAAAACTTGTATATTTTAAATGTATGGTGTCTATTGGCGGCGGTAACCACTTACCATCAGATTGTCGTCTGCTCTATTGTTTTTTATAATATAGCATCATAAAAAAAATCAAAAAGTTATCAAATCTGATTGAAAAATACAATATTATCGCCTATCACTGACGCCAATAGGTATTATAATTCAGTGGCGGTGTTTTACAACAGATAGATATAGGTAGATAACACCTGGCAACTTTTGGGCTATTTTGATACAGTTGACTGAAGCCCAAAAATAATACTGTACAACGAACTATTCGTTATCTTATAACTATAATTCACTTTCATAGTTTTTTTGTGGTATGGAGAGCAAGCGAGCAAGACGGGTCAGCTGACGGCAACTACCAATAAATTCCCAATTTTCCCATCTGACTCCCAGTGTGCCTGGTTGACAAGAATCGGCTTGTCCTCTTTTACTTACCTAAGTAGGCCAAACTTAAGTCGGCAAAATATGGGCGTTTATAACCCGGCAATCTCGTGCGCGACCGTCCCGCGGGGTGACAGACAGTGGCGGGGGCGAGGTAGCGCGTCATTCTAGCACACGGCTACACACGATTCCATACCCCGCTACACCACCCGCTACCCGCTGACATCTTGAGTACCTCGTCCCCGCCACCGTCTGTCACCCCGCGGGACGGTCGCGCACGACGTTGATGGAGTATAGTACCCCACTCACTTGGAGAAAGGCAAAAAATTGGTTAGTAACAATTTTCTCTGTGAGGCCACGGTTTCACTCCAGTCAAGCCGAGTCATGACTCTCCCACGGACACGAAAGAATGAATGACATAGAAATACTTTAATGGCACAGCACACACACTTTAATCATTCTTCTTCAAAAATAAAACAAAAAATGTAAATCATAAATTATTTATTTCAACTCAACTCAACTGCACTATTTCTACTGCAACATTCCTTTATTGTGAAATTAATGTATTTTCTTGACAACTCTTACTTTCTTTCTAAACTGATTAACCTTTACCTTGACCTTAACTTTAACTTGGAGACGTTTCAGAAGCTCGGGTAAGTCTTCATCTTCTTCGGAAGTATCATCTTCATCACTTCCCTCTTCGTTGCTATCACCTTCTGGTGTGGTAGGTGGTAAGGAGGTAGGTGGTTCAGTGGTGGGTGGTACAGTGGTAGGTGGTAAAGTGGTAGGAGGTGTTGTTGTTGTTTCATCTTCCACCTCGTCTAGATTCTCAAAATCAATACCGGTAACTTCTGTATACCAATCGTGGAAATGTCCAGGACGGATGAAAGCTAAAATAATATTAACAATAAGTGTCGATCTAAAGTAAGTGGTTCAAAGTGATGGACATTTGTGAGATCAAGAGAATATTGGAACTGAATTTTGAACTCTTATCTATTACCGAAAAAAAATCTATCAAATGAGACTAGTCGAAAGTCAAAGGAAGATGTTTCCTTCTGATCTTATAAAAATTAGTAAAAAATTACCTGCAGGCAATCCCGAGTGGCATCCACCAGAGTTTGCACCCGCCGTGAACGAGGTCACACCGACAAGGAATATTTTACCTTCAGGGTAAGTATACACAAGTGGACCACCGCTGTCGCCCTGGTATGCAAAAAGATATTTATTAATGATGTTTGATGGTGGAAACCAACTGTAGAAGACAATGTAGTAAACAGTATTTAACAATTGTTATTTTTTTTAGGGAGCAAACTGATGTTAAGTGACACGCCGCCCATGGATATCTACAACTCAAATCTGACTGCATAGATGGCGTAGTGATTTAAGCGGTCACCTCGCCGCTTCCTACTGCGCTGAGTGTTAAGGGTTCGATCCCTAATAGGACAACACTCTGTGTGATCCAAAAATTGTTGTTCTGAGTCTGGCTGTCCTTTGTGTCCGTTTCATGTATGTTTGTAAAGTCTCCGCAACACAGGGTTTATTCCTAGTGTGGGAGATGTCTTTTGATTGAGAAAACAGATGTTGCCGCCTACTAGAATCAGGGAGATTTGGCCCTGCGGTATTCTTTGGGGCCGTGGCTAATAGCTCTCCCTCAGATGCGGATTTCATTCCAGCTGAAAGATCATTTTTTGTGTGACCAAGATTCTAAATATTACCTGACATATAGACTGCGAAGTGACGTTGAACCATTGTGCGCAAATTGTGGTATCCGTAACAATGGTTGTTCCAAACGTAAGTCCACAAAGAAGGTTGCTTACTCCTCGGAGGTATACCCATTGGAGCACCTGGGACCCTGAACCTGAAATACACACGTTGGCCTCGCATAAAGTGGCAGTCATAGCTATAATATTAATACTGCGTCTCACGCTGTAGCTTTGGAAATCATTTTTTTATTTTATAAAATAGTTTACTATTATTTGAAATCATCCGTCTTTTTAATAGACTAGATCATCGATACCAATCAGAACCCTGGCAAATAAGTTCTCGGAGATATATATTTATATATTATTTTTAATAGAATTAAAATTGTAGATGAACGCACACAAAGTCACTGCCATAGCAGGTTTCTGTATCAATATATTAATGGCCCAAAACCTCCTTTCTAAGGAGAGGCCTATAACCATCAGTGGACTATTAAAGGCTGTTGATGATGATGATGATGCTGATGTTAGTGACACAAAAGAATATAGAGAACAGAAGTTTGTGTAAGAGTCTGCCTGTGGAATACAAGACAAGAAATCCAGCAGACAAAGTCACAGCTACGTAAATTATATATAGATATACGTAAGTCATTCCAGTTTTTTACCTACTACACCTATAACTTTATACGAGGAGATTTATAAGGTTGTAGATATACATAACGCAAACAAGCCTACGGCCTGATGATAGACAGTTAAGAATGCCCATACACACCAGTAATTACCTTATCTAATCCCTAAAACTTCACCCCGTACAACAAAGGCACATCCCTAGTCCAGAGGATTAAAATTCGAACAGTAACTTTGGTATATCCTATGACCTTCACAGTGACTTAAATAAAAAATTATCTGTAGTGTCAGTTTCGACCTTTAGCAGTGTAAGTATTTCAGGGCTCAACTATACCTAATTTGTTTTAATAGAAGCAGTTGTTTTTTCGTAAAAAACGACCCTCCTGAAGTCTTGGATACTCACCGCCGGTCCAAGTAGCGCCAAATCCACTAGCGTGCAAAGTTATTTCGCCGAAGTTTCTATTAGCATCCGCTGACGGTTGAATGCGGATAGGTTTAAGATTTCCTACAAAGAAAATAACATTATACATATCTATGATTCATAAATAAAGACTTCGTCAAGTTCTACAGGGAATAGTAGCAAAAATTCACAGGAGAACTCTGCCCAATAATCATACAATAAACTTTTGAATAATTGTAAACGTCTTCATTACGCCTACATCAAGGTGAATTGTAATCAGCTGTGTTCTACATTCCTTAATTTTCCAACCTTAGCATTAGTATTTATTCTCCGAATTTCAATGGGACCAAACATAAAATATACAAAAGTTAAAAATTAAGAAGTTCTGAAGTAAAAACATGATAAAGAAATACATCAGAGTTGTTCATTTTCAACTTTTTGGCAGTTGGTTAAAAAGAATGTCCGTAGATCATAATTTTTCAGGTCTTTAAAACATTTTATTAAAGGTCTCGAACTCTTCTAAAACAGGCAAATCATTTAACAAATATGCAACCTTCACATAAATAGCTTGCAATTTGTAAACGGACTTTTTTATGGAGTCGGTTAAAAATAAATACTTACTTGTATAAACAATTGGTTCTTGCAGTTTCACGATGCTGATATCATTCGGCTGAACAATCTGAGGGATTGAGTTGTCGTATGAAGGGTAATTCCAAAACTCATTCGTTTCCGACATATACTCCGGTGTTTCGCTGAGGGAGATCATTCCACCACGGATAAGGAGACTGACACGCCTATCGTGAAAACAACGTGTTAATAATATTATAAAAATGACAATTTCTACAATTAAAAAAATAATCGTACATAAAATTACGATTTATACGAACTTAAACGACATTTTAGACTATAGCTATGATTAGCAGAACTCATTTCATGCTAAGCTGTCTAGCAGGTAGAAAATATAGACTCAATTAAAAAAAAATATGGACCAATATTTTTTATACACTAAAAATTAACTAGCTGTGCTCTGATACGCTTCGCTGTGGCACATTGGCTTTGCATTAATAAGAAATGAAGAACAAAACTGACGCGATAAATGGATAAAAACAATCTTTGATGTGCCGTGTATATCGTGTTAAAATTTGAACTCAATCGGTGCCAAACTATTAAGTTGTTAAAGCGTACATAAACCAACTTAACACTTTTATAATATTAAAGTTTATTATTAATTACAGATAATGAAAACTTACGTAGCGGTACAATGCGCGGCAGTGATCATCCAATCATGGTGCACAAAGCATCCTCCACAGGTACTGACACCCCCAGCGGCGTTGGTCATACGCATGTGTGCTTGGTGTGGATGTTGACCAAGTTTAGCGTCCCATCCCGAGACTATACGCGGCCCCAATGATGTTCGCGATTCTAGAAAAATGCGTTTCAGTTATGAGTCTTGGAATGGCGTGCTTTTATTATATCAGGTTTTAAGCTGCAAGCAGCTGAAATGTAACCACATTTGGAAGGCTAAAAAGAAATTCAATGTATTTTTATTACTTACGTTCTTGGATTACATCTTCAATGAACTGCGGTTCAATATATTCAGATGATACCTGCAAAAGGGATAAATTAGATTATTGTGTGACTACACACATTTCGAAGGTAGAATAACGCAAGTATTTTCAGCTCGTAAATTTAAAAAAAAAAACAAACGAGGCATTATTCGAACATAACGTGTAACTTCTCACTATACACCTCCCATGTGAAGGTACACACGATACTATACCGTAAGCGCTCATTAGTCAAATCAAATAGCTCTCACTTCTCCAGCTTCTTTTTTCTTATGCAAGAGGGGCAAACGAGCTGATGGGTCACCTGATGGAAAGTGACTATAACCCATGAGCGCCTGCAACTCACAAGTGCAGAAAGAAGTCCTCTGTTTTCTTGAAGGTTTGAAGGTCGTATCGTTCCGGAAATACCGCAGATGAATTTTGTTTCGTGGGTTGGTTTTGCGAGACAAAAATAGTCTTGAGAAGCGCACAGTGGTGGAATGCCAATTATCCGATTGATGGGAATGAAAATTTTGCCGTGTGGAACGATGGCAGAAAGTTCAATTTCAAAGAAATGAGTAACAAAATTAACGTGAAGACTAGATAAAAACCAATCTTTGAAACGTCTTGTATATCGTGTCAAAGTTTGAGCTCTATTGATGCAGAACTTTCTGAGTGTTTGAAGCGTACACAAACCAATTTAATATTTTCATATCTATACCTAGATAAATATGAGAACAATATTATGAAGCTATACAAAAGCATCCTTTTGTTGTATCTCTTAAAAATAACTCACATGTTAAAAAAAATAGCAAGAACGCAACCGGTATTTATACGGGTCTAGGCTAGTTAATTCACCAATATTTGCTCTTTGCCAAAAAACGTTAAAACTCTTCCTGGATGCTGCTACCGGCAATACTACAGGAGTAGGAGTAGCCAATCCTTTAACTGTGATTTATTTAATCTTATGTCAAGTTAAACGATAAAGCTCATAATCGCCAAATGCTTTCGAAATAAAAGTTTAAGGAAAGTAACATTTAAAACCTAGAATTTAAACAAAAACTCTTACCTGAACAATAGCGACGGCCAATAACAAAAAAGCAGTTTTCTTTAACATCTTAGCCACCATACTGATTGTCATCCAATCATCGGCTATGAGGTGAACTTGTTCATCTATGATTAGTTCTATAATCACTGTTCAGATCTCAGATCATCTTGATAAGGTATTTTATTTCAAAATGATAAATCAACTTCTGCCAAAAGCCACATGTATGTAATCACTATGATCAAAAAACTTATGCCGTCCTTATCGTTTAATTAATATTTTAATACAGTAGTCTTATTAACAATAATTATATTTTTAGACGTACCTATTTACTGTAAGAAAATTTTTCGACACACAAACGGTGAAGGAATTAAATGGATATTTTATATAACACACACATCACATCAACAGCCTTTAATAGTCCAATGGATATTTAGTATACCTAAATTGGAATTGTAATAATGTCCGAAGTAAGAGAAACATGTATCACCTACATTTAATATTAAGTGGTCTAACGAGCACGTTGTTAAACGTTTTTGAGGATTGGCTCAAGAGGCAACACGGGACCTTCCCATACCGGCTGACGCAAGTAACAATCAGGAAAGGATGCTTCGGCGATCACTTGTGTCTGATCCACAATGAGCCAACGCCTGAGTGCTAACTCTGCAATCGCCAGATCGCGTTCCATACGCTGGTAAACTGCCAGGCGTGTGTGGAGCAGAGGCGTAGCCTCGTGACGATCATCCGAGTCGGAATTCTCTCCCTCGGTACCATGATTGCGGCCATGGTACTGAGCGAGAGCGGGCGGTACTCCGTCGTCTCCTTCTGCGAGTAAATAAAGCTTGCGAAGGAGATGGCGGAGCGGGACCTGGTGAGGTTTACAACTCTCCGGGAACGGGCCAGGTACCACAGACGACTCAGGCGTAGGGAGTTGCAGATCGACCTCCATCCTCCATTTAGGGAATAGGATGGGAACATCGTGGTTCCCACGTACCAGGGATTTCCTTTCTGGAGCACTGCTTCCTTCGTTAGAGTTCGTTTGATATAATAAAGTGCTCGCGGTGAAAACTTTTATACCCACTCGGGAAACATGCTCGACATGGCATGTAATAACATATAGCTTGAAGAACTATACAATAGTAAGAGGGAGGCAGAGCAAGGGGGTAGGCAAATGATGACGGAGATCCTCCCTTTTGAATAAGAACCAATTTGTCAGTTTTCGGAATTCTTTAGAACAGGTCCTAAACAACCTGAAGGTCCAGGACCCACGTTTGGCCTCATTTTACCAATATTAATAAATAATATTGATATCGAATAAAGTAATTATTTGATAGTAATACCCATTAATTATTGATTATATTATTAGATACCTACAAACGAATCATACACATTTGTAAGCCATTATCATGTAGCTACCGTTCCGCTGAGTAAATCTAATCGACTAAGTAATCAAATCAATAATATTTTGAATAGATTTATATAGATTTATATTATTTATATTTGGGGAGCCATTGCAAAAACTACTTCTACGTCCAGCTTATCACTTTACCGTGGTCCTTTTTGACGACCGAATGTCGTAGTGGTTTGTGTAACGGACTGCTATTCCAAAGGTCGCGGGTTCGATTCCCGCTCAAGTCAAACATTTGTGTGCATGTACTTTTAATGTTTGGTGTGGTCTGGGCGTTTCTATGTTTTTATAAAAATAAAATATATATGTATTTATATCAGTTGTCTAGTATCCATAGTACAAGCTCTGTTTAGTTTGGGACTAGATGGCGTTGTGTCAATGTGGTAGAAGTTGTTTTTTTTATTACTTATTTACACAAAGAAAAGTTTTTAGTTACAAAGAGAGATGTCACGTAGATATACATAAAACAATGACAGTGGGAATCCTCTAGGCTTTAAACTTAGGCTTGGTCATTTACATACATGGTGGCCGGGTAAGTCAACCTAAATACTTTAAGGGGTTGTAGTTTCCATCATTTCTGATAGATTTCACTTTGAAATACCATATCCCAAAAATATCCATTTTCAAGATATTGGACTTTTAAGTGTTTTTTATAAAAATCTCTGATTTTTTTTAGAACTTATAAAAATTCAATTTTTTTAGATCTTATAAGTTTTATTTTATGCTTTTTTACCGGTTTTGTGTAGTTGCTAAACTGTTTTATATTTTCAATTACTAAAATTGTAGTTAACAAACTGGGCCGAAGTGGATAGTAAATAATTGGCAAAATAAATAGATTTGTAAAAAAATTATTTTTCTTTGACAAATATTATTAAAAAAAACTATGACAGTTAAACTGCAGGTTTATTAATAAACCTGTACGTATTCTCAGCTATCTAACAAGCGATAAAAGTCTAGGATAGTATCAGAATTCATAAAAAAAACTAGTATCCGTAAGAAAGCAAGATATGAGCATATTCCTCGTAAGTATAGGTCATAATCTTCAACAGTATCAGAAGCACAAATCAAAGTCCATTTAGCAATAGTTAATCACGAATAGAAGACGAAACAAAACAGTCCAAAAATACAAGCCAAGTTTTTAACTACATACTACCAGGTTGTATGCTAATTCTTAACAAGTTTTTTCAAGTTAAGTTTATTTTTATGAATTCTGATACTATTCTAAGACTATTATACCTTGTTAGATAGCTGAGAATACGTACATATTGTTTAAACCTATCTGCAGTTTAACTGTCATAGATATTTTTTTATTATATTTGTCAAAGAAATTTCTTTTTACAAATTTATTTATTTTTCCCTTTATTAACCATCTACTTCTAAAAAAACAAACTTGAGTCTGATATTGAAACTTCCTTAACGGAGGATTGGGGTCGACTGAATCTGGTCCATTTTACCCCACAAAAACAAATATATTATTATATATATTAAATATATTATATTATTATATATAATAAATATTTGCCGGTCAAAAGATATCATTTGTCGTATCGCCTAGGTTCGAGAGCACCTTTCTAAATGCCGACGCCAGTCTCGGAATCCTAGGCATCGACGCGTTCAAGCGAAGTCCAGTTTCGCGATCATTTAGAGGGTAAGGTCAAATTGGCCTCGAAGGAGCTCGGCGTGCTGAACAGATCGAAGCAGTATTTCACTACAGCCCATCACTTCCAACTCTATAAGGCGCAAGTCCGGCCGTATATGTAATACGGTTCTCATATCTATGCAGAGGCACCTCAGTACCAGCTACTTCCTCTGGACCGTATCCAAAGAAGAGCGACTCGAATCGTCGATAGCCAAAAGATCTCCGATCGGCTCGATCCCTTGGCGTTACGTAGAGATGTAGCTTCGCCCTGCATTCTCTATCGTATATATCATGGACAGTGCTCCGAGGAGCACTTGGATTGTTATCACGGAGAGTGCTCCGAGGAATTGTTCGGACCAATAATGACCGCATGATTTTCCGCCATCGTTCCACACGACAACATTTTCATCACAACCACTAAGATAATTGGCATTCCCTTTTTCCTAGCGCCACCAAACTGTGGAACGGGTTATCATCTGCGGTTCTTCCGGACCGATACGACCTTCAAGAAAAGAGCGTACTCCTTCCTCAAAGGCCGGCAACGCGCTTGTAACTCCTGAGTTGCAAGCGTTCATGGGTGGCGGTAGTCCCTTTCCATCAGGTGACTCGTCTACTCGTTCGCCCTATTCCATAAAAAAAATGTTCAGTCCAAAATATTCCGTCATACATTAATGGGAATGCAGCTAGACCACGATATCCAGTAAGTAAGTTCCGTTAACTGAGTAATAATAATATTTAATAATATTATTACACATTTCACACACGGCTGTCTGATCCCAAACTAGGCAGAGCCTGTACTATGGTAACCAGACTGCTGATAAACATACTTATATATTTCTAAATACATACATATTATAGATAAAGTACACCCCGACACAGAACAAATGACCATGCTCATCAAATAATTATTTGTCCTGGGTGGGAATCGAACCCACGACCTCTGGCATAGCAGTCAGGGTCACTAACCACTAGACCAACAGGCCAGTCAAAGATCATGTGAGTGATCGTGTAAATCAATATAATTATGTTAAACTGTTGTTGGTGTTGGTTGGCTGGTGCCGCTGGTGCTGGGACTTCGTTCGCGTGGTATTTGAAAAGCGTAGCCTTAGTGGGTTCGATTGCCGGACCGGGCAATATTTTGTAAGGTTTTTCTGAGAGAAAAAATAGCCTAAGTTACTCCTTATATAGACAGTTACCTGGTGGTACAATATTATCAAAATCGGTCCAGCCGTTTTGAAGACTATCCGGAACAAACAGATAGACAGACAAAAATATTATAACTGGTTTTAGGCATAGGTATCGTGCAAATAACCGTTTGAGCATAAGAAAACTATTATTTTGTGATTACAAAAAGACATTTCAATTCTATTTATATAGAATATAGATAGATATAGAATTTAGATAAGTTTTTTCGTTTTAAAACAGACAATTCCCGCACTAGGAATAAATCATGTGTAGCGGGGGAATTTACAAACATACATCAAACGAACACAAAGAACGCCCAGACTCAGAACAACAATTTGTGGATCACACAAAGTGTTGTCCCATGTGGGGATCGAACCCACAACACTCAGCACAGTAGGTAGTAGCGAGGTGACCGCTTAAACCACCCGTGCAGTCGATTTATTGTATTGATTTATCTATCTTCATGCTGTGCTCATCTGTCAATGTCAAATTTCAAATTTAATTGCACCATTATAGTCTATACTAATATTATAAAGCTGAAGAGTTTGTTTGTTTGTTTGTTTGAACGCGCTAATCTCAGGAACTACTGGTCTGATTTGAAAAATTCTTTCGGTATTAGATAGCCCATTTATCGAGGAAGGCTATAGGTTATATATCATCACGCTAAGACCAATAGCAGCGGAGCACCAATGAAGAATGTTTTAAAAACGGAGAAAATTTATTACTATTGAGAGACGCAGACGAAGTTGCGCGGGTCAGCTAGTTAATATTTAACTAAATATTTACTTACTCCCGTTCATTCAAATTCATAAGACTGTTTCATTCAGATTAATAATTAAA